GGTGAAAAAAAGAAGTGGCCAATAAAAATCTCAAGTAGTCTCGACGAAATCCACTCTATTTTATTAGCAATTGTATCTTTAGTATGTATTTATAAAGTCAGGAGCTAATAAAACGAACACATAATTACATATATAGAGAGTATTTAACTTAAAACCCTTCTCAATGCTATAAAGCACAGAATAATGATCCATACAGAAGGGCCACTTACTGTACGTCGGAAGCTTTGAAGTTTCTGTCCTCGCGCATGTCACATTACGCATGTTTGCCGCCATTTTCCTAGCCAGTCAATGACATTCTCTGGCCAATAAACACGCTGTACTGGCTGGCTGCACTGCCTTCTGGCCAGTAAACTGCATATTTTTGCATACAAAAGCGAGGACACCTTGCTCCGCTGCGTGGCGCTTCTGTTACTGATCTTTATTCTGTACTGTAAAGCAAGCCTCTCTTTGCCGATTCCCAAAAACGGTCATTAGACAATGAAAGACAGGTAGTTTATGACAAAGCGAAATTTCTTTCCTGACCATAAAAGATCGTTTGAATGAACTTTATATACTGTTACTGGAATCAAACTAAGCCAATTTAACTCGGAAAGTGTTATTTTCCGCTGGCTGAGGCACGAAAGGATCGGAAAATGTTTTCTCACACACTGCTGGGGGCCTGATGAAATCAGGCTGTTTCAGGTGGTGCAGGTTAGTTGAGCATATTTTTGTCGTTGCTCAACGTAGCTTGACAGTATCCCACCCACCCAGCCCTTTTATGTTTATTAGTAGAGAGTGGGGGGACAGAACGGTTTTGGACTGGGTATATGTACTTGTTATAGTATTTATATGTAGCGAGCATTTGTAATGTATGGTAGTTTAATAATGAGAATGTCATTTTGGATGTTAAGAGCTTTATTAAACGAATATCTCGGTTAAGCCGGCAAGTCCAGCTCCATGTGAACATCCACTAGCTGGAGGCGGTCCAGGCCCACAAACATGGCTGCAAACTAAAGTCACGCAATGGAAATACATTGTTTTCTAATTGTTTTCCAGCGTCTTCAGGCTGAAACCAATAAGCTTACGAGGCTGGGACAAGGGGTGGGGGACAGCTACACCCCCAGAAAAATTAAGGTTTATAGGCAAATTTCTCTCTCCCCCTCCGCTCTCCAAACAATTTCTAATAGTTGCGAGCATCATACCAACTCGGCTGCAGAATTGTAAAATATGTAAACTTTCTTGAACCTATTCATAGTTATTTCGAGTTTTCGCCGTCCGGACTGCAACCACTTAATACATGTCAATATTTTCGGTAACCACTGAGTATTCTAATAAAATACAATACTATGGAAACTCCGACGAATTTCATGAATTTAATGTCAATCGTAGTCAAATACCGCAGACTAGACCTCAGACTATACGAACTTGGCCAGATTGGAACAATTTAATATGTTGGCAATTCGTGGGAATAATTTCCTTTCGGCGGATTAAAGATATATATTCTCTGCACGAACGTGATTGTCATATAGTGCGTGGTAGCTTTAACGCATGTGCGTCAGATAAGATAAAGTAGATCTGCGTCAAGTGATGTCATTTTTGCCGTCCAAGGTGAGGGAACTGGTGCATTCTCGAAAGCTCAAATACTTTCTTGGTATACGGTTGTGGTGCATATTGCTTAACTTTTTTGACCAATTAATGCATGCTATAAATTTCTTGCCTAGACTAAATAAAGAATATATTTGCACTGGATCTTACCGACCTTCAGCGCACTGAGTGACGTTATAAAGTAGGAAATTGGGAAATAAAAGGAAGGACAGTTTGGCATAAAAAGACCATTCTACATCTCCCGCAATGTTCACCATTGCCAATCGGCGTTTTGATAATTTAATATTCTGTTTGTGCGACTTTGTTACTGTTGGACCCGTACGAAGAGACCATTTACTGGTTGTAATGTTGACCATTGACAAGTTTCATACATTAAACTCCATTGCTGCCTCACCAATTGAACAGTTGAGGTACTTTATCATACATGCACTGACACAACACCGAGAAAATTATTACTGTGGACTAAATTCGAGGCTTGCAATGCAAACGATTCCTATATTCGGTTTTTATCTATAATTACGGAATCAAAGAAAGATACTGGGTACGAGGTTGTTACGGAATTTGTTTTTCTGTCGCCCGGAGGTTATTTGGTGTTTTTTTTTTCAAACATACCCAGAGAGAGAATTGCATGTGCATTAAACAAGACCAGTTTAAGGGCGCGATTTATACGCTTTATTATGTATATGCTTTAATAGTTGCGATCATACCAATTCAATTTTACTCGCACAGTATAAATATCAAATGCATATCTTGCGTGACTTTGGATTAACCACAAATATGTTGTGGTTTTAAATAAATTTCATTTTGGAAAAATGCCCGACGAGGTACGCCTTCAAAGATAAAATGGGTGACCTTCCACATTACTGAAAGAAGTTAACAATCATGCAGCATTAATTGGCTGAGCCTTCAATTGTTAATTTAAAATTAATAAAAAAGTTTTCAAATTTTCCCTGAACTATATTGAGTCGAAGAGGAAATTAGCTTTCCTTTTCATTCAAGTAGTTAATTGAATATATATATACAAAATAGGCTTCCTGTATAGTTTTGAATGTACGGCGATGAATAGAATTGATTTAGATTTGGCAGAACATTGGGCTAGTATTCCAAAGGTCGTAGGTTCGATTCCCACCGTGATGAAGCATATTTTTCAAGCATGCCCGGTGTGGATATACACTCAGAGTAACATCACAAGCATCATATTCACCTGAGTACATTGCACCAATACAGAAAAATCATGATTAGAATTGATTTGTTTTGTTAAAAAAGCAACACGTTTAATCATTTTGCAAAGCTTTCGATCAGTCTGGAAACTATATTGTCCGGATCTTGTTAGGGCAGATGATATTCAAGTATAGAAATTGTTCTAGCTGATGAAAATCCCGACTTACGGATCGAAAGTCATTAATCTGTGTCGAAAGTTGGAATCCAATTAACATTTGCCAACTACTATCCAATTAACATTTGCCAACTACTATTGCAGGATAACTTCATATCGACACATAAACTTTATTTATTCCTGAATTTGCAGTGTCAGTTTAGCTCAAAAATAAGCTAATATTAATTGAGCAACATTATATATTTGGATTAACACGACTTTTCTTTTCGTTATTCATATGTAGGTTATTTCAAGAGTTTTTATCAATATGTGAGATATATTAAACATGAAATTTTAAGACAGCAATCCTCCGGCTTATAACAGGTATGTATGAGAAGGTGTGACCAGTGAAATGGATTTCAGGGTATGTTAATTAAGAAAAGATTCTCGCATAAGTTACAAAATATGAGAAAACTTACATGAATATTTCCGAAAGGTGCAGTACCACGAACAACAAAATCTGATTTCAACGCATGTTAATTAAAAGTGTTTGCGCATGTTGTCTAATGCTTTGTAATCTAGGCGTGAAAATGTTTATCACATGAAGATGCTTACAGAGGAAGCTAAGTTCACCTCGACTTTAGTAAACAATCGAAACATTTGCACTTTATATTGTAATTAACAACCAATTGAAGACTTGATCCACTTAAGTTCATCTCAAGCGCACTTTTGACATAATGTTTAATATTAACATCGCGACGTTAGATTGATTTCTCAAGTCTTATCGAAACGAAGAATTTCCAAACAGATAACAAAAAGTGCGTTAATGATATTCACATGCTGAAAGTAATACCATAATTATGCGGTGCTTTTCAGATTAGGTTTTAAACTAGCCTTCAGTGTTATTGCTATATAGGCCGACACACCAGCGGGCTATGTAGATATACTAGATAGGAATCTATTAGACAACTAACAAGGTAAATATAGGAGGCTCTTATGAGACCAAGTGATTAAAATCATATTTTGATGCCTCTTAAACAGGAAAAATGACTTGTCAGATTGCGTACAAACAACATCGGCACTGCGCTTTGGGGTGGGTCAATTGAGCTTTCAGCTGATATAATGCTAAATGTATATGATATAATGATACAAATGTATTTTAATCAATGCGCATTAATCTGCATCTCATCTCGGCATAACTCCGGTCCTGATTAATTTGTTGGTTTTGTTCTAAAAGGGAAATGCGCAATCAGTATATACATGATATCAGTATACTTTGGTGTAGGTCGAAAAACAGGTGGGCGCAGATTGTGATAATTAGATGGCATTTTGTACAAGCTGAAAACTATAACTTTTGTTAGCAATAGTTTTTGTAGAATGCGAGATTAGTTGTGATGATGTTATACCTTGAGTGTTTTATGTCAAAAGCACGCTTACGACTTAAGAAAACGAATAGGTCTGGCATGTATGTCACTAAAACAAAGCTGTTGGGGCGCATAGAGTGTTAATTAGATCGATTAAAAGGTAATTGTGAAGCCCGGATGAGACGAGAATGAGAGTGCATGAGAGTTGGCAGTCACGCGACCTTGGTTAGCTCTTTACTCTTTAGCTGTTCTCAATGCTTTTTCAACACTATCATGTATTTTATTTAAGTTAAACCATAGTTAGAGCACTCATCGAACCTTTCTTTTGTCGATCTAGAGCTTGAAATGTTCCCAGTAACAATGCGTGACTTGAACTGCTCGAATCCGGTGCAGGCGGAGTGGCAAAGCACGCGTATTATATACTAGTAAGAATCAGGGCCTTCTGCATTTAAGGAGTGGCTGAATGAAAAAAGACTGTCGCGGTCTGTCAACTTGTATTCATTAGATTTTCAATTTATGCTTTTTTACGAATAATAATGAGAGGCACTCCTACTTCTATACGTAGTCGCCGAATGGATTAAAACTGCCTGACTTTCACCCAGTTTATAGTTCTAACTGGTTGGTACAAGGGAAGCATACATTAACCATGAGCCACTCCCAACTATAGCCGAATGATGGGAGGCTGGCGGTAGCCAAATTATTCACAGACGGACCCGGAAAGGGTTTAGAAGAAAGCTCTATCTTTCTTCCGCAGGAATCCCGTCATTTAGATGATCAGACGCAATCGTAGGAAACAGAGAAAATTTACAGTGCCTGTTACAAAAATTGAGAGATTTATTATGCATTGTATTCTCATAATTAGTTCCCTTTCAAATTTTTAATAAATTAATAGGAGTATAACAACATGGTATTTTAAAATAGGTCATGCAATTCAGTTTTATTGCTGCAAAGTGACTTAATAAACCAGTCTATCTATCTTTCATCTTATATTCATTAATACTAATTATACATTTATACATCATAGCAAACTTGCATATTATTATATACTGACACACCTACCTTTCTCTCACATTGTTTGTAGCTTCTTCATCAGAGATGTTAATTTCCCAAGCGTGCGTCTCTGGGTATAACTTATAATAAACCTCGTGGACTTTATTCAGAAACTCCGGAAGCTTCACTCTCTTCGCTTCATCTGAATATTCACACAAATTGAGAGGAGCTTCGGAGCATTGCGTGTTGCGCTTCCTTACGTTGCGGTTTAACTTCGACGCGTACAGACCGACGAGAACGCAGAGTATGCCACCAGCTAAGAGAACAAATCCGCCCACTAGGTAGACTTTTCGGCAGTTTCGACTCTCACGTCTGGTTCCCTTGCTGTTCTCCTGTCCAATTTTCTCTTCTGAATTTCTCAGCATTTGCAAATTATCCACTCTCTCCATTGGGATGTGTTCCTTCGATGTTTTGTCGTATGAAGTGCACGTTCCTATAGAAGTGTGTTGGATTTTAATGAAGTGCGCGCACGACAAATCTAATTAACTTGTTATATACTTACGCGTGTGCGCGTTCGTAATTATGTAAAATTGATTTGTTAGTACTGTACTCGAAAATGCTCGAAAAAGATTCTTCTCGATGTTGCGCACCTTACTCTAATGTTGGTTGTTACTCGGAACTTGAGGTGTTGGCGGTGCGCAAGCTTATATTTATACCATCTGCACTCTCACGTTACGCGCACGGCAACCTCCGGTAAATATTTCTCTTATCACATAACTCAAATGATACTGAACACATGTGAATTACTGCACGCCTTATCTGTACACAGGAACCGTAAGACCGTCATCGAACGGGGCAATGAGTCAATGACTTAACAAATTTCCAGCGCCCTTTCCTGTGCTTATGAAGGAACCTTTACACACTTCATCGTAGCACTAGTACATCGGATCATAGCCACTTCATTCTCTCACCTTCGTCTATGAATTGCTCTTCAATGCGTGCAATTCATACTTATTTTCTAAATAAATTAAAAAGATAAATGCTTTTTTGTCTATCTGTTTCTTCTGGTCTGATGAAAAACAGACTGTGAGATGGCTTTTGTAATGAGGCTAATTGTCTGTTACTTACTCATTGTTCCCAGCAATATGAGGTCAGTATGTTCACAGATGAAGGTCGCCCACGATATATAACTGCTCCCATGCATGCTGAAATTTCATTGGGATATCATGTACTGGTCCACAGGGATGTAGCGAAGCATCTGAAGTTGGGGGATCGGAGGATGTTACCTGAAATTTGTACTTCAATGTTAAAAATTTACCTGAAGTGTTATAATTATAATAGAGCTTTTTCTCATTGATTTCCACTGCCATACTAAGTGTCTGGGTATCCTCTCCCAGAAAAGTTTTACATTTTTGAAGTCCCAGGATTGCATTTCTTTGCCTCAAAGATTTCTTACCGCAATTTACAAATCCTTCAAAAGTCCTACTGTGATCACAGAAACTTTGATAGTGTAAAACCTGCCTTTATACTTTGTACGTTACACCCCTAGTCCAATTTAATATGGCAGATTTATAAGGGCACGCATGAGAAAAAGTGGAGAGACATGATTCGTGATCAAGTTCGCATTCTATATCTATATTATCTATTTCTATGCTTGATATGCATAAAAACACAAGTGGAGTTGGAATTGCTTCTCTTCTTTGCTTCTAGGGCGTTTCGTCTGGATGTTTCGGCATCAATTTGCAATCTTACGGTTTCTTAGTACTCGTCATTCGTCAGTAACATGCTCACGAGATTGCAATTTTTCAGGGCATCATGTGAGCGTTGGACGTCATTGAGTGGCACTTGAACACGTAAAGTACATGCTTTTAATATATACAGAATTTTAGTCAAGATCTGCAATTTGGGTGTACAAAATGCTTAAAATTGGGATTTGGCTTACACTTATATGTGTGCACATTTACCATGCAGCGATTTTCTTTGGGTGAAGCAAGGACAATTCTGTAGCAATTTTGCACGTCATTTGCCTATCTCTATATCTTTGACTGCCAAGTAAGAAAAGTCACATGATTATATTTTTGAAAAATAGAATCATGTGATCATTCTTACCTATAATATTTTAACAGGCAGTCCATATCTCTTGTAATGAGGCTAATTGTCTATTACTTACTCATTGTTCCCAGCAATATGAGGTCAGCATGTTTACAGCTGAAGGTGGACCACGATATAACTGCTCTCATGCATGCTGAAATATCATTGGGATATCATATAGTGGTCCACAGAGATGTAGCGAAGCATCTGAAGTTGGGGGATCGGAGGATGTTACCTGAAATTTGTACTTCAATGTTAAAAATTTACCTGAAGTGTTATAATTATAATAGAGCTTTTTCTGATTGATTTCCGCTGTCATACTAAGTGTCTGAAAAAAAGGGGGCTTTGGGTGTTCTCTCCCAGAAAAGTTTTACATTTTTGAAGCCCCAGGATTGCATTCTTTTGCCTCAAAGATTTCTTACAAAGTTACAATTTACAAATCCTTCAAAAGTCCTACTGTGATCACAGAAACTTTGATAGTGTAAAACCTGCCTTTATACTTTGTAGGTTACACCCCTAGTCCAATTTAATATGGCAGATTTATAAGGGCACGCATGAGAAAAAGTGGAGACATGATTCGTGATCAGGTTCGCATTCTATATCTATATTATTTATTTCTATGCTTGATCTTACGGTTTTTTTGTACTCGTCATTTGTCAGTAACATGCTCACGAGATTGCAATATTTCAGGACATCATGTGAGCGTTGGACGTCACTGAGTGGCACTTGAACACGTAAAGTACATGCTTTTAATATATAGAGAATTTTAGTCAAGATCTGCAATTTGGGTGTACAAAATTCTTAAAATTGGGATTTGGCTTACATTTATATGTGTGCACATTTACCATGCAGCGAATTTCTTTGGGTGAAGCAAGGACGCCATTTGCCTTTTGCACGCCATTTGCCTATCTCTATATCTTAGACTGCTAAATCAGAAAAGTCACATGACTTATATTTTTGAAAAATAGAATCATGTGATTATTCTTACTTAGCCGTCAAAGATATACAGATAGTAATTTTTGGGTTTTCTTTATTATAATCTCTTGTAATGAGGCTAATTGTCTGTTACTTACTCATTGTTCCCAGCAATATGAGGTCAGCATGTTTGCAGATGAAGGTCGACCACGATATAACTGCTCCAATGCATGCTGAAATATCATTGGAATATCATGTATTGGTTCACAGGGATGTAGCGAAGCATCTGAAGTTTGGGGATCGGAGGATGTTACCTGAAATTTGTACTTCAATGTTAAAAATTTACCTGAAGTATTATAATTATAATAGAGCTTTTTCTCATTGATTTCCACTGTCATATTAAGTGTCTGGGTATCCTCTCCCAGAAAAGTTTTACATTTTTGAAGCCCCAGGATTGCATTTCTTTGCCTCAAAGATTTCTTACCGCAATTTACAAATCCTTCAAAAGTCCTACTGTGATCACAGAAACTTTGATAGTGTAAAACCTGCCTTTATACTTTGTACGTTACACCCCTAGTCCAATTTAATATGGCAGATTTATAAGGGCACGCATGAGAAAACTGAGTGGAGAGACATGATTCGTGATCAAGTTTGCATTCTGTATCTATATTATTTATATGCTTGATATGCATAAAAACACAAGTGGAGTTGCAATTGCTTCCCTTCTTTGCTTCGAGGGTGTTTCGTCGGGATGTTTCGACATCAATTTGCAATCTTACAGTTCCTTAGTACTCGTCATTCGTCAGTAACATGCTCGGGTCGGCACGAAGCTCTAGGAAAATGTTCTGTGACCGGTTGATTATGACAATGACAAAAGAATAAGCTATAGAATGGATTTTCTAAAGAACGAAGCAAGAACAATATTCCTTTTGTTTATGTAAGCCAATAGCGTCTTTTGTCATTGTCATAATCAACCAGTCACAGAACACCCGGCCTAGAGCTTCGTGTTTGCTGACATGCTCACGAGACTGCAATTTTTCAGGACATCATGTGAATGTTGGACGTCATTGAGTGGCACTTGAGACGAAGTACATGCTTTTAAATTAATATATACAGAGTTTTAGTCAAGATCTGCAACTTGGGTGTACAAAATTCTTAAAATTGGGATTTGGCTTACACTTATATGTGTGCACATTTACCAGGCAGCGAATTTCTTTGGATGAAGCAACTGGACAGTTCTGTAGCAATTTTGCACGCCATTTGCCTATCTCTATATCTTTGACTGCTAAGTAAGAAAAGTCACATAATTATATTTTTGAAAAATAGAATCATGTGATTATTCTTACTTAGCCGTCAAAGATATACAGATAGTAATTTTGGGTTTTTTTATTATAATATTTTAACAGGCAGCCAATATCTCCAAGTAGTTTTTCAATAGTTCGAAACTTGCATATGGATATATCCACAACATTCGACCGGTTGGGCAAATAAGGTTTTTTCTCTCTCAAATTTGACTGTCAATGATTAAAGAACTTTGGGACGAAAACATTCTGTTTCACCGAATATCTTGCTAACACCAGTCATTCTAGATTTATTAATTCATTTTCTTCGTTTTCCCACGTCTGAAATGTTGTAACTCGGTTATCTAGCACGTGTTTTTCTATGTTGTGTGATGTGTCCATATAATTAGAGACTAAATTGTCAGAACACTTCTGTTAATTACGTAGTGCATGACCTTTAATTCTCTGCAGTAGCATAGAAAAATATTTGGCTCAATAACAAATGCCCGTTAGGACAGCTTTAAAACATGACTTTGAAACTTTATGAATTATATATATTAGTTTTAAACTGTTCTCCAAGGATGTCCACTAAGCCTTGCGTTTCAGTTTTACTACAGGAGGTATTCAACTCGATTACAGGTTAAAAAGGCACATGACCTAGAACCATGTGACCACTTGTACCGCACTTTGTACAGATCCTAAAATGTGTTGTATTGTTATGTTTCCCACACAATAGAAGAATAGAATAGAATAATTTATTTAATGTCGAATAGAGTGTGGTTGCCCAATCACTCGAGCCAGGGGCTCATGTAGAAGTGCTCGAAGAAGGGTGGGAGGGGGGCGGGTGAGGGGAGGGTCCTTGAATAGGATGGTCCATATCAAAAAGGAATATCTTATAACAAAGCATGTAACAGAGTTATGTTATGTTAAAAGTATTCGTTAAGAAATCGTACAAAAATATAAGGAAAAAACATATTCTGAAGAGCACCATCTTGTGAATTCATAACTTGAGTTATGAAAACAAGGCACTTGAGATATGATTATAATTGTATTTATCTTCAATTTACAAGAGGTATTTTTTTCGGGTTTTTTATATTTCTGCATGCTGATAAAGAAATTGTATTAGGGGGCTCCCGTTATAGTCGTCACGGAGCGAGCTCCTTTCACCTCTCAGATGGCGTGGGTTCGAATCTCGCTGCGGACGTATAAGACACTCATGCGGAAAATAAGTGGGTTTTCTCTTGGTACTTCAGTTTCCTCCCACAAGGAATGTCGACAGGGTGGGTTGCAATAAACTCCTAACATGCACCGTTGCTGTGCGCCCTTAGAAAGCCTTCGACTCGATCAGGTTCAGCTATGTCTTTCGTAATTCAGCTTAGCTCTCAGCTGCAAGTAAGGATAATTAGGACCCCCCCCTCCCGCCAACACTTATTTACATACATGATTCATATTTTACCACACCAACATTTTCTTTATATAATTGGGGCTTTGTAACGCATAACAATATTGCCACGAATAACGATTCAGTGGTTGGAATGTTCCATTGTTTGGGAAATACCTGAACTGTTCTCCGTGCCAATTAGTCACCGATTCTTCAACATGTATTGGCGTTTATGCAAACGGTATTTGTAGTTGAAAGGCATGGTAATGTGAATGAGAATGAGAAACATCGATGGAGTATTTTTTGGAGTTGTTTTGTACATGGTAATGCATAGCAGGTTGTAGAAAAAACGTGTAGCACTCGAAATATTTGTCGTACGTTAGATGACAGAATTTATTGAAATTGGATTGCTTGTTGTTGTTTTTTCATGGCCAAGGGTAATGAATTTTGAGTGACAAACGACTTGGATTGATTTCATGATCAATTATAAGATATAAGGCGAACGTGTCCACTGCCTACCCACACGAAATGCATCAAAGAGATCACATGTGTTTGGTCATGCATATGTTCTTTCTTGATATGTGATATGCCGTCAACATTCTTTTAAAAATATAGTATTGGGGTTACTCTGTGGTTTGTTGATCTTATGTGTGATCGCTTTTAAAAATCAAGTGATCACCTCACTTTGGTATATATACATGAACTTGTGCTTAAAGCTCGGCAACTATAGACTCTGTAGCTCAGTTGGTTAGAGTGCTGCACCGGGATTGCAGGGCACCAGGCTCAATTCCTGCCAGAGGGGCCATGGTTGCATTTGTCGCAGCTGTTCCTGGTTACGTTTAAAAAAATGTCTGAAATTCACACTCGAAATTTCCATCTAATGTTTATGTTCTATCGACTGAGATGCCCTGAGCTTTTTGACTGCCTGTTGTTAATAGGAAAATAATGAAGTTTATATCTGCTCAAAAACTTGCTCATGAGTAGTGTGTGTGATTGCACCTTTTCAGTAAAGTGATAAACTGATTAACTAACTCATTGGCTTTGAATGAATGCAAAAATTTAAACAATTATGAGCAACTGGGACGCATGGAAAACAGTGGAATTTACTAGAAGGACAATGATATATTTTTCCCCCTGTACTTGGGTTTCTTCCTGCAGTACTAACAGTGGATGAATGAGAATAGCCCTGAAATACTGGATCTGGAGAAGAGTTAATTACCATTGAGCCATTCAATAAAATTAAGTTTCGTTTGCATACTGCTTAATGTATGTTTTCATTCATGAACAGGCTCTTTGTGAGAAATTGGTCAAAACATTGAGTGGCTGACGCCTGACTGTATGATATAGATAGCGTAGAGAACATTATTAACACCGAATTATGGTTGATTGGCAATATTATAGTGGAGTCTTGTATAAGTTTCATGCTCAAGTGCATGCACAATGATGTTTTTGTAAGTTATCTTGTAGTTTCCAACTTCACGACATGGGCACGTCTAGTTTACGTTGAAGTGTGTATTGACAAATACATAAGCAAATTATGTAGTAAATTATTGTCAATCCTGCCATAGCTTTATGACTATAGATCTCTATCATTATTTACCCAGTCCTTGTTAGTAATCCATTACTGGTGAGATGTATTCGCAAGAATTCACATATTTTGCTAATAAGCGTGCCTTCTTTCAGTTGATCAGTATCGAAAATTCAATTTCTTGCCGATAGACCTCATGCCACGCCTAATTAAAATAGAAACTAGAAGTGCCTATTGCAAACGAAGAGCTGCCTCAGCCATGTAAACAAATATATTGCTCATAAACATTATTATAAGCAGATGGAAGGAAACTTCCAAAATGATTTCACCTAACCATACATAAACTAAATGCATTGAATTTGGTTTTTGGGCTCTCTAGTGGTTTCCGGGTGGGCTTGATAGTTTCCGGACACCATATCAGTGTACGGATTAACTGTGGTTAATCCTATTTGATAAGCGCATAATTTGGAAATTAAGAAACAGTCCAGAACGCAATAGAAAATTATATGACGAGAATACTTACCCTTCTTGCGCCATTATATGACGAAACACTTACCGTTCTTGGGCGTGGATCTTCCAAGTTATAGAAAGCGCTATTTATATACACAATGCTGTAGTAAGCAATCTAATGGACCTTTCCCCTTATAACTAAAATTTTGAACTAGACAAAAATTTCATCACAGCTTGAAAGAGCATCACAAAATTAGTAATATTCCAAAGTTTCGTTGCGAAATGTTATAAAATGTGGATAATATAGCCTTGCGAAGTTCATTCAGTCATTTTGTATTACGCATGGGAAATTGACAGCCCAATCGGGTATTGGGGCATCAATTTCCCGTTTGTAATACAAAATTACTGAAAATTGCAAATTTCGCAGGGCTATATTATCCGCATTTTACAACATTTCGCAACGAAACTTTGGAATATTACCAATTTTGTGATGCTCTTTCAACTGCTGTGATGAAATTTTTGTCTAGACTTGTCTAGATCAAAATTTTAGTTATAAGGGGAAAGGTCTATTCGATCATTATAAATTAAGTAATATTTCTCTAATAATTCGAATCATGGGAGTCCAGTGTCGGCGGTGTTGAACATTGAGATTTTTGGACACCTCGTACGATGGAGCTAATGGTATTTTTTTGTAGATGGAATTTTCGTAAACTTAGACACATGTTTCAGACTTAACTAGGAGCAGTTGCGCCCCTGATAGGGATCAAACCTGCAATTCCGGTACAGCGCTCTAACGAACTGAGCTACAGAGTCCATCTGCTGAACTTTAACCACAAAATTCATGTATATTTAATGGGTGATGCTAACAGAAAGCATATGGGTAAATATCGAAATTTTTGGGCATATTGTTCGATGAACTAATAGTAGATGCACAAATCACTCGATATGACCTCTGTTCCTTCTATTGCTCGTTTGCAATCGACGCCATCTTTGTTGATTTTCGTGGCAACTAAAAATCTATATTCTTTATTCTTTGTCGTATTGTACCAGAAATCGTAAACTATCCATAATACAGTGAGATGTTTTCAAAACAAACCAAAAATATTAAAGGTCTTAAAGTAACTCAACTATTTCGATGTAAACGGCTGGACAAAACTTTAAAATCAACCAAGATAGCGCCTTATGACACGTAGTGACGTCATGTGCAAACAAAGAATTTGCATCACTTCATGCGTATGAAAGGATATTGGTTGTAAGTTTAGATCCATTGTATAAGCTAATTCAAAATAGGTTGTCCTTTGTAAACTTTAAACCTTAAACTTTAAGCTTAATGGGAGCGCAAGTGTCAATCTTAGACTCTTAGTAGTTGAATATTGCAGGTATTTGTGAATGGACCATTTGCATTATAGACTAAATTTTGACCTAGACAAAAATTTCATCACAGCTTGAAAGAGCATCACAAAATTAGTAATATTCCAAAGTTTCGTTGCGAAATGTTGTAAAATGCGGATAATATAGCCTTGCGAAGTTTGCCGTT